TCACGCAAAAATCTACAGTAAAACGCATCTAAGCGGTCTAATCAGTTTCAAATCATTTCACTTCTTTCTCTCCTCTCTCACTCTGTTTGCTCCCTCTCTCCGATTTCTCTTTCTTTTGTATATCTGTCTCGTAAATTAACCACATGACTATTCAGAACATGGCGAATAGGAGACTTCCCTGATGATTCCCGCTTCTACCCGCATGCATTGCTCGGTCAGTGTTCACAGCTAAGGGATGAAACACAAAGACTGCATCGTAAAATGTCCTCTTATATATGACACTTAAGACCAATCAATCCTTCTTTTGCACTATTTTATATCGCACCGCTTATGTGTCACTGTTTATAGCCGCCTCATTTATACACCGGAGCTTTCACAAGGTATTTCGAGGTTAGAAATGAATCAACGGACGGCATCGACTTCGGTTTCGTTCAGCACGCCATGCCAGAATTTCTCTCTTTCTGTTGTTATAAGCTGAGCAACTTCGGTTCGCGTATGCCAGACGTACACTTTCCTGCAGCCATTTGCTTTCGGCTCCAAATCACTCCTTTTCAAGCCTAGCCCGGTGAGGAAATGCGACTCCTGCAAAATACCAACAAAGCTCATCAGTGAATCCCGCACAACGAACAAATATTACGATCGGCAATAATAAACGCAATCGGATATTGCAGAAGCAGTAAAATAGTAATTTCTTTACTACGACTGCTCCAGAAATGTCGCTATCCAAGGAAAAATGCATAACAAAAGGGGTGGAACCGCTTAAACGCCAACCAATGAAGTATAAAGAATCTGGCTGGATGGGACAGAATCAACTAAGAGAAGCCCAATCACATTAAAAAAAGTGGCCAAAACGCGAGAACCAAGAAAATGAGGAGGAAACAAGCAGGAAATATTACGCAGAACAAGGCAGAGAGGTAAAAAGACAAAAAAGAAAAAAGAAAACAAAAAAAAAATATATTTTCCACGGAAACCATCAAAACGATAACTTAATATTTAGCAGTCAAAGGTTTCATGTTGAAGTTTGGGCTGCGTTTAAGCAATTGCTAGAATTTCATAATAACCTGACACAAACATATGCGCCGAGACCGAAACACCACCACAGCTTGCCCTACCTAGCGATGTCGAAAAGTCAGGAATGATCAACAGTCTTGCCCAGAAAGTGAATGCTATCAGTTAAAGCTCTATTACTGAAAACAC